TAAAAAAATCCACACCAATGTTTTTAAAAACAAAAGTCGGATGAACTACATTTTTATATTTCAATATAAGTCGATATTTTTGATAAATTAAACCAAAAAATTTATTGTATTTGACAATAAGAGAATTAGATTGATTTTTTCCTTGTAGATGAGGTCATATGAGTTCAAACTTATTGACTTAGCTAGTCTGATTAGGAAAAAAAAACATAAGATATAAACAAAAGGGAATAAAAAAATCCTTAAGTGTTATTTAATACTGATCGATTGCTGTATGATTTACGTAGTAAATTTTAAAATCAAGTGAAACTTCGGAGTTTTTGCAAATCTTATCTTAATGAACTATTTAGAATAAACAATTGAAGAATGATATAATAAAGTCCTCTTACTATCATTTAACAAAGGTTTTCGAACTAAAGAAACATAACATAAATAATCTTGATGAAATACGTAACAATTGAGTTTCGACATTCCAAGAAATGTACACGATTAGTCCCTTTAGATTTTTTTTACAATTCTGCTTAGTGGTAAATTGTGAGTACTGTTCAATTGGTCGTTTTACATCTACGATTGACTCAACCAATTAAGCACTGATAAACATGTCATTAGATGTCGTTTTGTCCTCATATGCAACCCATCATAAATGCATGCATATGAATCAGCTATGGATCAAACACAAGGTCACTTTTGTTTCACATTTGAATTTACAACATTACCTATTTTGTGATACAGCCTGACTATCACATTATACAATTGGTGAGCGACTTAACCGCGTGAACTCAGTGGTCTGCTTGTGTATCTGGGCTATCTTTTTCTGTCATCTAGATATTTCAACAAGTTATCTGTTTCCTCATTCGTTTGAACAGATCATTATGTCAGTTAATTGCATAACCTATTCAGGTGCGTTTGTGACAAGTTTACAACCTTTCGCTGTACAAGTTACAAAAATGTAGTGTCGGAGACATCTTGATGGCTGGCAATATACATTGAATAGAATGAAAATCATTCAGATGTCGATTCCTGAATTGCTAACATCTAACATGCGATCATTCAATATTTACCGTCAAAACCTATCAAGAAATAAGAAAATGAAACTCGTTAAAACATTTTGTGCTAAGAATTCTATATTGTACCAAAAATATAATATTGAGTAAAGCCATTAATTATAATAATTCACTTATAATATCGTCAGATCTTAACAATAAGGATTTTTCACTAAGCGTTTGAGAACCTATTGAGTACATGGTTATAATATTTCATAACTTCAGTATATCAGAATACTCTTCAAAACCTCTACTTCAAACACTTCAACTCTGTTATCATATATATCTCTTAAACTATCCTTTACATTATGCGTCAATGTCACGCTCACTTCAAAAGCAAAGAATATTACTTGACCTCATTGGTTAAATCATAGACTAGATTATCATTTAATCATATTTTATTTATATTCACCAATTAATAGTAAACATAATCCAACGAAATTATTGAGTATAGAAATACATTACAGTCTATTCAGGACTTCTGTTCACGAAAATCATTGACATGAAAATCTGGAATTCAGCAGTAATGAAACAATTCGAACTTTTCCATAGTACCAGTCTCTTTTCATTATCGTAATGCATTTATTATTTCTTATGGATAATAGGTAAAATATTTAATTGATCTTCCTGAGTGCATATTGAATTGGATGCTAAATATTAAGTCATATTTACACATTAATTTTCGCTGAAACTGTGGACCATTTTAATTTATTGTAGTTTACTCCTAAATTAAATTGCACAACAAATTTTATTCTTTTCTATCGTATCTATATTTTGTTAAGTTTATTGTCAATTTAAATGTATTTTAGTTAGTTTTTTTGGAACTAGCGTGTCCGTGCACTAACATGGTGAATATTTTTACGATTACATTGGTGCATCGTTGTGATTAATCACCGTGAAAAAATTGTTAAGTTTCATTTACTGTTCAGTTGATATGATAATTTATTTTATGTAATTCAGTTAATTTATAGATGTAATGTTGTACCAAGATAAAACATCAAGTACTCAAACAATGAGATCAGTGATTATTGATAATTCATTAGTTGGCTAGAGAAAATATCATTTTGTTTGTCTTCTTTCCGATATCGTCATTTATCAGATTAGAAAACTAATGACTAAGTGACTTCATATCATTTCGGCGATCAAAAAACAATCGTTTGTTTACCAAATTATAAAAATGAATTCCAATGAATAATTACATAAATGAATAATCACCTAGCAAATTACTTTATAAAAAGAAGGTTTGGCAATAAAATGTGATTTAATAAAACTAACATCTGATATTTTATTCTGAACTGATTTAGCACATTCGATGTTTTGATGTTGCACTTTTTCAATGTTGATTTGATATAGTAGCAGTCATGTCAAGGGACATTTACCATCGTTGTTTCCTTGCAACTCGTGATTAATTGTATGTAAAATGAAGATTAAGTTTACTGTAAACCGAGAATCGTTTAAATACATGTCTACATCTTATCAAGTAGACACATCATTATATGTTCTCTTATATCAAGTAGATAGTTATACATCTTGTAAAGGCTATAGATCTGTTTGTGAAAAACCCGCTGCTTTTCCTTATATTTCTAGAATACTTTGATCGTAGTATGAAAACTACATTGTAACATTTATAAGATGTAGAGGTAATGAATAAATTTGAATAAATACTATTATATTCTGTCGAAGATCAAACATTGTAATCGAGTCTATTGAACGTCATAAGTGTTAAATTTGTACTAGATCTGAAAATTCAGCCCCAAATAGATCATTTTCATCTTATTTAACTGACTAACTATGATTAATATTGCGTTTTAAAAAAGTATAATATTTAGTTAAAGGCATATACATTTACCGATAGTAAAAATTACTTAGGTAACAATATCAAGGTTGAACTTGATAGTTTCAAATAAATTGAACATTGGGTAGAAAGTTAGTAATAAATATATTTTTGTTATATCCCAATGAGTAGAAAAATTGTATTTCTGACGTTTCGTGACTTAATGTAAGCCACTTCAACTCTAAAGAAGAGGTTTGCATTCAGTCACGAAACGTCAGAAACACAATTTTTCTACTCATCGGAATATAACAACAATATATTTATCATTAAAAAATTATTTAGTTTTATAGAAGTATTGTGGTTAAAATAGTTATCATCTTTTTATAAGCAACTAGTTTGCTTCATATGAAGCAACAGATAAATCCCAAAAAATAGCCGGAGTTTTATTTTCTATATAAAATTATTATTTCTTTTGAAAAGATATTTTAAGAATGTCTATGAGTTTTAGGAGTATTAGAAATTGTATATTATATATTGAAGAGTTTTCACAAGCATGACAGAAGATATAGCACTATTTTTACATAATGTAATTTAGTGTGATAAAACGATCTGTTTTTGTAATTCGGCTTACACAATGTCCGATTATTGAAAAACACTTTTTTTGCTAATTACCAAGAGTTTATTTACATTTTATTGGTCGAATTATTTTGATTAACTTAGCTACCAGGTACAAATTAGTTTCTTCGACTTTTAACCACACTCCAGGTGTGAGAGCGTATCATACTTGATTGTTTAGAGTAAAGTAGGTGGATTGGATTTTGAACATGTAGCTTAGTGGTTAAGAAACAAACACCTTAACCACTTAGCCACTGCTACACAGCTATCTCTTCATTTGCTAGAAAATATTCAATCTGTTTTTATCAGATAGTAAGATACATTTTCACGAAACAAGATACTGTGTATTACGAGAGGTGACATTATATATTATAATTATGTTGCGTGAAGTAAAACGTTTACAGAAACACCATTTTTATCAACCAAATGGCACAAAAGAAAATCAAGCTATAAATTAATTTTTTTGAATATGACTGTTTTCTGTATCATTAATGTTTTGTAATATTCTATTGTGCTTTTCAGTAAGGTCAAACATTTTGTTTATTTAGAGTTATATTCCATTAAACCATACGGTGTATAAATATCAACCCCGAATTTATTAAAATCAACTTTATTTGAAAGAACTAGAAATAGTGTTTGGAAATTTCATTTCTAAATAATAATCAGTGCTAAACCAAATTAGTATTTTGAAAATGAGCATTTACTGCTTCAGTTACTGATTTGGAAACTGAATGTGACACTATTCAATTACGTTTTCTAGATGATATCAATATAAGTATTGGATTATCATAGATACTTATATATTTTCTTTACGTGCAATAAGTGGAATTATGGAATTTTCTCCATGATAATAAATCAGAATTGTAATTTTCAAATGCCAAGCTTCACAAGCATAGGAATTGCTCTATGATTTTAATTAAGAACACCCTGATGATTATGGGATTTCTGTATTATATAGTTTATCTGAAACATGAGCTATCTGTTCAAATATGTGTTAGATCATGCGTACCATAAATTGTAAGTTTAGCTGAATGAAGTCCTTTTAATTCTTTATATGTTATAGATTACAGACTGAGAAATGTACCTCATAATGAGGGAACATATATTCATGTACCGTGTCAGTTTATTAAATATAGAATTGGGCAAACTTTATAGATCAATACAAAACTTTATTAAACTTTTTTAAGTATTCACTGCATTCAATTGGAGTAATGGACTTCAATAATGATACAAAACGTATCCATTTTTCATGTCAGAGAATGATCACAACAACACATAAGGACGTTACGCAACTATTCTGATGTTAATTTACTTGATAATTTTATTGTGTTCGCATTTAATGGCCATTATAAATTAATATAAATCAAACCATAAAATCAATACAAGATGTAGAGTTTCATTTGAATAGTGGAAATAATGTTTTATAAGGTATAAGTAAACACATATCCGCAATCAAACTGGGGCGTTTCTACATTTGTTATTTCTTAGTAACATTTGATTGGTTGATATTATTAGCCAATAAGGGCTGAACTATGAAATGATTTATAGATAAGTATATTTCAAATTCATTTACAATTTCTAGTATACTAAATCACTTATGAACATATAAAGCAAATTATATGGAATTTCTAGTAACCTTTTAAATGATTCAAAGTACAAACTAGAATAAGAGCTTGCAAACACACACACATACAATGAATAAAAACTATTCGAGAACATCATGGGAAAACGAAGTAAGTGTTCATTTTGAAGTGATGTTATTTGATCGGAATTTCTAATTCTATCAGTATATTATAGAATTCAACACTATTGAAATAATGACTAGAAATCAGCTTATTGTTTATCTTTAAAGAATAATGAACAAACTAAATTATCTCTATAATAACTACTAGTGCATTTAATAAATTGGACAGAATTTCAACAATACTACTGCTAGTAGTAGTAGTACGTCACGATCACATTCATATAAAAAACATTTATCGATTTAAAAACTTTTCAAGATTTGGCAAGAAATTTATTGGATAGCATTTCTGTCATGAGATTTCCCTAAGATTTATGCTGTCTTTTTGGTATTTAATTTTATCAATATGTAAACAGGCAATTTATACATTTAATTAATTAGCTCACAGTTTAAACCATCTTATTTCTATCGAATGTTAAGTGTACTTGAGAGACAATTTTCGAACTTAAAGAAATCGATAATTATCGATTAAATAGCTGTAAGTACATTCGAAATAAACTTTTGATAAAATGAACTAATAACGATTTGCGATTCATGGATGATCGTCATGTATGTATGTAAATATATTCATCCTGCATTCTACATTAAAGAACTTACATGTTATGTACAATATTTGGTGTAAAATTATTGTTTATCGAAACACTAGAGTCACATATCATGTTGTTCATGTTGTTTCACCTTAGGGTCATTATTTTGATCTTCGATAAACTGTTTTCTCATATTAGAATATAGAATTAGTCTCTTTAAGTTAGGGAAACGCAGATCATTTACTGGATTGTAATACAATTCATAAAATCACTACCTTTCCGTGCCCAGTGACTGTTCTCACACCTATTGCTATAGTTTTTGACGTAAATTTTAGGTACGTGTTCCTTTTATTTCACTGAGATCATGCTCATATATAAATGCATTTAATTCTTAGTCTATTTATTATTGTTCAACTATTTTTCCATTAACAAGTGTAAACTCCATGAAAATTGAATGAATCAACAAATTTATTTTTGGTTGTACAGTATGTAAAATTTAGATGGATAGGGCTAATACCAGCAGGTATAAAATTGAAATCGACCGTTTTCTCTTAGCACGAAATTTCTTAACAGTATGCACAAACAACTCAGGAATTAAAGATCAAACTACTGACTTGTAAATCTCAAAGACACCTTATCGCATTTATTCCTTTTTGTGGTATTATTCGGCTATAAACGAATGTTAGATGTGTATAACTTTTTCACCTCTACTATCGCCGAAGTCCAACCATGAATATTTATAATTAGACCTTGAGTCACTAATCTGTAAGCTGGCCACTTAAAGGCATGCGGTTATTGTCTGGTTGTGTGTTTGTGAAGATACGAATTCAAGGCTGAAAAGTCCTGTTTCTTCATAAAATAACATTGGATTTCCTATTTATCTTCAGTGGTACTCCAGCTAATATCTGTTTATGATAAATAAAGCTTGCCCCTAAATGCCCTGGTATGGCCGAGAGTGGGGGGAGTCACCTCTCCCTCTCGAAATGCTCTCACATGGCCACGCGTATACAGCCTCTGCCAGGGAAGTCCTACTCACTGCCTTCTCGTGGCGGGGGTGTTGTTTACGAAAATGAGAGGACGAAAAGCGAATGTCCGGCGCTATAACCGGATCCTAAACCAATGGTGCACATAGGCTCCAGTATCCTGCGGGAACAAATGGCGTATGAACCAATCGTTGGTCACCGGCTACCATGGGACTGCATCTCCTCACGATGCTCCACTGCCTTGTGGATCAGATCTTCAGGTCAAAGGCTCGGGGTGTGGTCCCCTAAGAAAACCACCTGTTTCGGTTTGGGCACCCGGGCAGTATCACAGCCCTCACACATATCCAAGGAGATCTGTGTGGCGCATATGTATTTGGTGCCTTCTTGTACCTATATCTATGTGTTAAAATAAATAAAATAAAAAAATAAAGCTTACAAATTTAATGATTCTTCACAACTTCACGTAAACTGCATTTGGATAGTTACTAATGTATAGCTATCTGATGACTTATTGATGCTTCAATTTAAAGTTGTCAGACGTTAAGTTAGGGCGTGTCCGGGGTCAAAGTCACCAATAATTCTGAAAGTAGGTTCTGCTGATTCGCGAGCTTTCTCTTCAAATCAAACTGAGATAATACTTTGTTAAACCAATTATTTCGATGGCGACCACTGACGAAGGGCAGTATATCTATACTCACCGGCTTCTGATCAATGATAACACACTGACTCTAAAACAGCTTTCGTGATGATCTTATTCTTTTTTATAGAACCGCGTTTCAGATTTTATCCAATTTAATAAGCGGAAAATACTGATCTAGTGATTACCATTTTTATTCATCTCTTTTACAAAATAAAGGTCAACAGTAATATTTTTTTTAAAGAAACGATATTATTTCTCCAAATATATAATTTTACTGATCATAAGTGGTTATCTTTGAAATTTAATCTTCCATTGAACAACGCTGTACATAGATCTTAAAAAATTTATTTATTCTTAGATTACATTAACAATGCAGTTCATTCAACTGCTCACTAAACAAATCAACCGTTCAAGATTTTAGTATTTTAAAATGATATGTCCTTAATTCAGTTTACATTGACTAAACTCATCCATACTTTTAATCATGGCAATCAAAAATCTGTTACTTCATTAAGTCTTAATCACTGTGATGATCTACCATCTGTAAATATGTGATTGAACTGATTAAAACTGTTCAGTATCATAGATTTTTGGTTATTAGATTTAACCATAAAAGTGAAAGATTTTCCTTTTGACAAGTAGATTAAAGTAGCATAATTCTATTCACTTTAACATTGCTACTAACTCCAAGATGTAACTGTTTTTTCTACAATTCAACAATACTGCAAACGTTCATAAATTGTACGTTATTATACTAACTAGCAATTTCACTTAGTGATTTGGTCAATTCATAGTTTGACTGTCAAGCATTACAATTATTATCTATTCAGTAACGGTATTTTTGTAGCATGATGTTCTCATTCTTTTAATAAATAAAAATAATTAATTGATAATTGTCTATAAACAGTCTAAACCATATATATATGCATTTTCATAATATTTTGATAATGTACACCATCTAGAGAAAGTATATATACATACAGAATAATTTCATAAGTCACATGTAAAACCGTATTTCAGTTATTTCCTCAATGTGTATTCATTATTCAAAGATAAAGAGTGGTGGACTATGCCTATTTGAAAATTCTATTCAGTAAAAATAAATAAAACTGGACAAATCAGTCTATTTGCACATGATTAAAAGCATAAAAATCTACGTTCATTTTGATAATGGAATAACATATGGAATTGAAGTGGATAAACAATTTCAATAATACTAAAACCATTTAATGTGACATAAATCCACTCGATAAAATAAAATGTAATAGATCCAATTAAGGCTGTACCATCCAACGGAACAACAACTGGGGTTTCCTCAATTAATTTGAAATGCATTTACTATGTGTTTGTGATCAGTTATGATGATTAAAACCTGTCGAGAGTAAGAAAATCCCATCGATAGCGCAGTATAGAGAGCACATAATATCAACGATCAAATGAAGATCAAATTTTTAACCACTGGATTCTGATCCATTGTTCAAAAAGTGAAGTACTTACCACTAGATGTAAATGTTTTGAGTTCACTCAAGTATAGAGTCGTCAATACTTACAAAATGACGATAAAACCTCTATCTAGATTTGAAGTGTTTTCACTGAATGTCTTCAAAAAATATATTAAATTTATTCGTTATTGTCAATCAGGAAAAACCATCGTTATTTATAATGTATATTAAAATAATTATTCTAACTCCAGAATTAATTGACACTGTTCCAAACATATGGGTGAGAAAATAGGAATCAAACTATCTTCAGGCATTTTTTCTTATCAATTATGAAATATAAACTGGTTATCGATTTATTTTAATCTCTAAATCCGTCAAGCATAAAATAAACACTAAAAGTTTGCAACGTGATGGTACTAAAAAGACTAGGAAAGATATTGGCTTAATTAATTGACTTAAAATGTTGTTGTTTTATCAAAACCATTACAACGTTGTTTGTAAAACAGCAGGATTAATCGTTATGCTGGTATATATATATATATATATATATATATATATATATATATATATATATATATAAGAACTTTTTGATGCATAAACATTTTGCTGACGTTTGTGAGTTGAAAGATGCTAAGCACTCTGTACAGACAGTAATTAGTTAGATACTGACAATTCAGTGATCATTATTACTAAAAAGTTATCATATTAGTATTTCTACTTTCAACAATAATAGAGTCGTAAATATATTGAATCTTCTTAATTTATAAACTGATATGAATGGATAGAAGTTAGACTTTGTATCGATTTATTTGATAGAAATACGTAACACAATATATTCTGTGAAATATTGTACTCTCTTTTCAGAATATTAATTTCCTAATATTTAGGAAGTATCACATGGGTTTGATTTATATTTCTGTTAAATATCCCATAAAATTTACTACATCAACATCTGAAAAAGTTTTTCATTGTTTATGGATTCATTCAATGATATGCTATATTGTCTAAAATGGATGAAGCAGTACCTAAATGAATGTAACTCATATGGAACCTACATTTTTAAAAATGATTTTAAATATGTTAAAATACATTTCCTTTCAGTAACTAATTATTTATTCGACTCAGTAACTTGTCGCATATTTCGAATAATAATTACAGATGATAATAGCCTGAATCTAGGATTAGACCTGTTAAAATATTTTCTTGGAAATATATTTTTTTCCTAAAACATGTGAAGTTTAAAGATTATATTCAAGTGAAATGATGTATTTATTCCGACAGTCGAAGAACTATCAACTGAAAATGACTGAAATAGATTGTATTAAGTTAATCATTTACAAATTTGGTTTTCTTCCTAACCACTTTTTATGGCTAACTGGAAGATATATGACATTAAATCA